TATATATATATAATGTATTTAACATTTTTATTTTACAGAGAAGCACTTAATACCGGGTGTTTCCGTGATAAAGTGTTTTCAGAGAATGATAGGCTTTCTAAGCTAAGTAAGCCCGGCACTAGATTTGTATTTGTTGACGGTTTCTAAGAATTGAAAACCCAGATGTTCTCTGCTCTGCTAACAGAAGAGGAAGGGGTATCTGTGCCTGCTTTGACTTATTCAGTGAGGTGTCTAATCAGATATTCTGCTGTTTAGCAGTTCACTCAGTAGTGCATCATTCTTGTAATCACATTACTCTGTAGCCTCTGTATCACCACCTGCTGCTGACTGCAAATGGTAAATATGAAATATGTATGTGCGGCATTACATATTCACCTGATTAAAAAATAAATACAACAAAATCATCATAACTAAACATACCGTGTTTCCCCGAAAGTAAGACCTACCCTGAAAATAAGACCTAGCGATATCTTCGGGGATTTCTGTAATATAAGACCTACCCCGAAAATAAGACCTAGTTCGGGGTAGGTCTTATATTACAGAAATCCCTGAAGATAGCGTTAGGTCTTACCTTCGGGGTAGCTGCACATGTAATTAAATTTTACATGTAAAGACCGGCCGCAGCTCCCTCCCGCCCCCTCGTCCGAATGTACTTACTAACTGCACATACTTTTTTGACTTCATAGTTTCTGTCATCTTCCAGTTTCCGATGGTTTTCCTGATAAACTCGCTCAACGGCCCTTCTGTAAAAAAAAAGAAGAAAAAAGTAATTCAACATAAATTAAATCACACGTTTCACTGAACTCAAGGGGGTACTAATAGAAGCATTTGGTAGAAAAACACTGGAGTAAATGAAAGATAACTAAAGACTAGGGATGCACAGATACTTTTCGAGTACCAGTGCAGATACTTGGCATTTTCATGAGAACTACCAGGGTTGCAGTGGTTGCAGCTGGGACCTGGTTCTGGCACCCCACCACTGTCCTGAAATCATTAGTCGATATTGTTTTAGAAATACTGTCACATGACAATAAACAAAAATGTATCAGTACTCGTACTTGTAAGTACTCGGCAAGTACCAGTACTCGTACTCGCAAAACTGGTATCTGTGCATCCCTTTATTTATATTTATAAAAACAAAATCATACATTAAAACAGAGATGTACAAATCCCAGGAGCTCCGTGTGCTCCTTACAAATGACAGCTGCCTCCTAATTTTTGCATTTTTCTCTAGTCTAGTCTTGGAGCTCAAAAGTATCGGTACATGTACTCGTACTTGCACCGAGTACTGTACTTGGTATCTGTGCAACCCTACTAAAGACAAGTATAATATTAAACTTGCGGCAGCTGTGAGGGAAGAGAAAATGTGCCAAAATTTGATTTTACTTAATTTTTTTAATTAAAAAAAATATTTTACAAGCTGATATTTCAAATTTGAACTCAGGTCAATGGGGGACCATTTTAAATGGTCACTTTTGGTTCTTTACTTTTGAAGGTGTGAGAGACAAACTATTGTCACCCAAATGTATGGCAAGCCTTTTGCTAATGCAAAACAATTATGGAAAGAAAGAATTTGGTAAAAAGTGAGGGAGGCAGGGCAGCAACCTTTTCCTAACAGGCTCGGGGATGTCTTCAAGCTGTACACGGTGTTACGCAATCACCGCGGTTTTCAGGGACCACATAATTCCCTTTTTGGCTGTGGCAGTTTTTTTTATTTATGACTTACAGACAGCAGCACTCCAAACTACTTTTTAGCAGTTCATAAAAAGCCTTTTTTACTGGTAATTTTAGACGGGGCGCATATGTTTTCATCCGGCGATACCAAGTCCTTTCTTGCCTTGATATTAACTTTAAAAACATAGCGCTAAAGAAACTCTATGTAAAAAAAAAATTTAATAAAATTGTGATATTCCAACACCATGTAATTTATCGACTCTAATATATAAACATAATATTTGAAAAAAAAAATCAGAAAAACATTAAAAGCATTACTAAACATGAAACATTTACATTTTCTATACACAAACCTTGAACCACATAATGTGACAGATGTCCACCTGACATGTTTGGTAGTTATTTACTCAACATGATTACATTTTTTTTATTTTTTTTCCCCCAACAAAATGGGGTATTATATTGTTTTTATGTGCACTAAAAACTATTTTATTGCATTTTTCCACAAATATCAATTTGATAAACATTTGTGCAAATATTGTGCAACATAAAAAAATGCAGCTATTATTTTTTTTTATTCTACAGGGCCTCTGCCTTTAGAAATGATATACTTGTTTGGGGGTTTACTTTTTCTATAAATTCTGATTTTAAAAAGTGTGTGCAAAAAATTGCTCCAGTACATAGGTGATTAAATAAAAAGTATCCAAAATTATAAAACAACCATGTGAAGTGATAAAAAAAGTCTCTCATGTATATGCAAAATTGAGTCCACACCAGGGACAGGCAGGCATACAGGGGAGGCAGGTGAGGCAGAGCCTCACCTAGTATTATGGAGGAAAAAGCTGTCTTCAAATCTGAACCTGACAGCTTTTTCTCCATTCAGATCGGCTTGTTACAGGTTACACAGCAGGGAAAGTCTCCCCACTGTGTAACCTGTCATGGACGGAGTGATTCCTGTTAATTACAGGCATCGCTGCATCCTGCGTTTGACAGGTAGTTAGGTTACACAGCAGCGGGCTTCCCCACTGCTTGTGTAACCTAACTAGTGAGGCAAGAGCTGCCACAGCCTCTACTCTGTGTTAGAGGCGTGAGCTCTGTGGTTGGCTTGGACCAATGGCAAAGTGCCATTGGTCCAAGCTGCCCAATAAAATAAAATAAAAGAAATTAAAAAAAACCCCACTGAGGCCGCCAATCTCAATGCCTCAGCAGTGATGAGCAAGTGAGGGACAGGGAGGCTCCTCCCTGTGTCCTTCCTCCTCCCTCCCTCCCTCCTTTACAATAGCTTGTGGATCGGGTTGGGGACGCGGCTTCATCGGGCTAGGGGCGAGGCTGGGGAAGCCTCAGCCGGAACCAAAGGTACCGCGCGTCACTGGTCCACACTACACCTTGTGAGACCCTATACTTGTGAGAATGACACTGATCAAAAGATGGGAACTCCAAGCTATTTCACAGCTATTCAAAGGGACAGAGTATTCTAAAATGTTAACAGACGGGTAACTTTCCTTTGTAAACCTGAGTCCTCATTAAATGTAAATCACTCAATAAAGCAAAAACTCGTAGCGGTACAGTTATTGAAAAAACTAAAATTCCAAATTCACATTTCAGGACTACGTACATCTGAAAAAGCATCAGGAAATGGAGGCTATACTCACAGCATGCTGCGCCAGCAATCCCTTCTCATCAGAACGCCACCATACATGATGATGCAAGTTAGTCATGGCCTACTGTACGTATTTCATCATTACGCCTTATTCAGAACCATCGGGACTAACTGGCTCATCATGCTCTATATAAATGTTGAAAATGTATAAAAAATGGCAACAATAAAAATAAAATGTGTTTGTATATAACAGAAGCTACAAGAATGAGACCTTTTGGATTTATCAGTTGGATACCCTTAGTCCCCAAGGTCTTAATATGGCTGTTGATGATAACTGCTTTCTTGGTCATATTTCATTTACGCTTGTACTGTATCTTGTATTCTGCAAAAACCTCATTTATTTTTATTGTTGCCACTTTTTTACATTTTGTATTCAATTTAATTTTATTATCTTTGTGATGTACATATGAATCTGTATGGCACATATGGGGCACATGATTGTGTTTATGGTGCCAAGTGATGTCATCATTTTAGAATTCTGATTTTATATGTTATTATATTTATATTAACTAAATTGCATTGGTAATATGATGTGTGGCCCTGGAAATCTCTGGTAACAGAGCTGATAGAGATCTCTAGAGGTAGATATGCTTATTGTGTTGGTAATATATAATATGACAGATAGAGATCTCTGCTGTAAACATAGCCTGTCTGTCACATTACACGGTTACAGTTTTGTTTATACCCCAGAGGAACCCATTGAGGATGCTGCTGCTGCCAATTAAAGTTCCAGCCCTAAAGAAGATCTTTGTATCAAATCATCTCTCATTCTAAGCCTTGATGAACGGGGAGTGTTGGTCCACCTGGTGGTCACTGCTCACCTCTCTCTCCCCCTCCTCAGCGGACCTGCATAAAATGTGATGATGTCATCGGTCCTTAGACCACTGGAGCCCAGGGAAGATGAGACTGTCTGGCAGCCTGGATTAAGCAGCAGGACCAAAGATCAGGCAGGTAAATCTGCTTTATTTGAGTCCACTAGACAAAATGAACACCTAAGGAGTAAGGTCTTCAATGCAATTTGGAAACTGGAGTTTAAAGAATTCTAACTTGTTTGGAAACACTTAAAGGAGAACTATGGGGTCAGGGCTTTTCCCCATAGTTCTCCTAAGGGTAACGGGAGGACACAAACTAGCTTCCCCTCGTCACCCTAAGCTCAGTACACCGCGAGCTACATTAAATTACTGTCGAGATCCACCCAGTTGCGGGATTGACAGCTGGCTCTGCCTATCTAGAGGCAGAGCCAGCTGTGCCCGCCCCCTCCCCCGTCCGTTCCGCCAGTCAGCGCTGGAGGATCAGACAGCTGGGGCAATCCCTGCAGGGAGACGTGAGTGATTTTCACTCGCCTCACAATTCTCCTTTAAGTAGACACCTGTATGAATGCTTAGCCAGTGTTTACGGCTCTCCCATGTCAGTAATCAACATTTGAATGAACATTTCCTAACTAGTACAGTGAACAGTATAATTGTGACCAATCATTTTGCAACCGACGTAGGGCAGCCATACAGTAGATGCACTTGTTGTGGAAGAGAAACAAAAAAAACCCTCAATGATGTAATGGGAATATTCTCTACCCTACATGTGCATGAGCAGGGCTGGATTTACTCTCTGCTGCCCCCATCCCCATAGAGAATGGCAGACCTGCAGGCTGCATACAAGTGATCTCGGAGACATTGCCGAGATCACTTGTACAAAAAAAGCGGTAGCTTCCCGGATGTACATTTAGCTCTGCTTGCCCACACCAGGGCTAAATGTAGCAAACAACTACCCGCCCGGAACTGCATGTTCCGGGCATTGGGAGATAGGAATTTCACACCTTGCTGCCCCTCTACTCCCTGCTGCCCCGAGGCCGGGCCTTGGTTGGCCTTGTGGGAAATCCGGCCCTGTGCATGAGCTTTGCTTTCAATCAGCATAATGCAGTTGAGGCAGTGGCTACTGATACATGGGTAGGTGTTGAGATTTCAGCTAAGCATTACAGCCAAGTCCAGGCCTGTAATTAGACATTGAAAAGGCAGCAGCACAGTGATAACATAATCGCTGTGCTCTACCTTCCTGTGAGCATATTCACTGTGTGACTGACAGCACTGAGCCAAGCAATAGAACAATAATTAGATGTTTATGTTGTTCATTTTCTCAGCCTGAGTGTCGTTGTGTTGGGGGCTACAGAAGGCAGATATCAAGACAGATTTGGATGCCTATGCTGGTTCTATGTAAAAATACCATTATGGCTTTTATCTGAATACGTAACTGGATAGAATTGTGTTTTTGTATATCTGCCTGGAGATTATCTGTAACATTCATCCAAGTTGAAAGCAGACAAGGCACAAAGTGACTCACAGGATTTGTGAAGAGCAAGCATTGTAATGAAGGCCAAATACCCCCACGTGGGTTAGAGATCCCTTTGTCCTTAGA